CAAAGAACTGCTGCAACGTCCCAGCATTTGAAACTCCGTTTTTTTTCCTTTTTTTTTTAACTCCGTTTTTTTTCCTTTTTTTTTTTCTTTTTTCCTTTCTTTCATTCTTTTTTGTCGGCCTCCAACGACGCCCGAACACCTGACAGCCCAAACGACGCATGACCCCCTTTCCACCGATTCGAACGAAAAAATGACCGCAAAGAGTTTCGCGGTTACAACTTTTCATGACCCCCCATAAAACCCCTCACTACCCATTTTATACCCATCCCTGTACGATTCCTTCTTTCCCAAAAAGGAAAAGCGAGTCGGCGTCCACAATAATCCCAACGACCTATTCAAACGACCACTAGACCTAACACTAGTACGACCCCTCGCAACTATAGCCGCGAAACCCGGAAAACACCCCGACAAAGACCATTCAACGCCCACGACATTTCCCTAAAAAGAAACCCCACAAAACGACAAAAGAGCCGTCACGGTAAGCGCAGCCTCTGGCTGCGAACATTGGTGTGGCGGGGCCCTCAAAGGTGGGCGGCATATGGTGCAGGTCCCGACCGCCAGTCCAGAGAGGGCGTGTTGCGCCCCCCTACCGTCAGGGGCCTGCCGAGAAAGTTTTTTGGGCCCAGGGGTGTCACAGGGTAAGTCCGCCGTAGGAGGGGCGCTGAGCAAAACAATGGAAATTCCAGAAAAAAAAAGAACGAGTCTTCCGTTTGAACATGGGAGCGCCATAGTTTTTGTCTGTCAGTCATGTGTTGAGTACGGTGGAGGCCCTCGGCCCCCGGCCGGTCCCAGGTTGTCCTGCTGCTCATCGGATTCCATTCCATATGGACTGGAACTCTGGGGCGTCGCCACGCCACTCTCGAAATGTGCAAAATGAGAATGAACTTCCTGCCAGAACATGGCCAGATGCGCTTGCCACCTTTTTGTCTTTTCCAAATTTCTCGCGTGGTGTGGCGAGTTCCTTGAACCTGGTCACAGTTCACGAGTCCGTATGAGTGACGGCGTTTTGCGTTCTTGGCAGCACGTACGCGCTGTGTTCAAACAGCCGTCGCCATTGTTCTCTCTCTCTCTCTCGTTGTCCCTCTCCCTGAGCGTACTCACATGAGGACTTTTCCACTTCTCTATGGACATAATTGCGGTCAGATGCATCCCCGCCAGGTCAGAAAAACGGTCTTATACATCCGGGAAAGTCCTAGTGTAAGTATCCCCTCTGTCTGTCTGTCTGTCTCCCTCACTCACACAGACACACGCACAGCTGTATTGTACGTAGAGAGGCGCGTGGAGAATGGGGAAGAGTTTCCTTCTACAAACTGACTGAGAAAAAAAAGGTGGGTTCGATCGAGGTGGCGAAGTGCAGCCTCTCTCCCTTCCTTCCCCTCCTCTCTCTTCTCTCTTCTCTCTCTCTCTCTCTCTTTCTCTCTCTCTCTTTTCCCCCCC